AGATTTTGGCCCTTGCAATCTTCAGCAATTGCAATAAAAAGTATTGGTGAAGCACAGAAGGTATGGGTGCATTGGAGGTAAATGGCAAGTGCCCGGTAGATGTTAAGAGAATAATGTTTTAGCATTTTTGGGAGGTTTGGAGTAGAAGGTGGAAAGGGGGATGCTCTGTAGAGGTGGAATGCAGAAACCATCTCAAGGATACATTTGGGATTCAGGCACAAGGAAACTTTATCTTTACGGAAAATGGTTGGAGGGTAGCAGTTATGGGCTGCCAATTTGCTAAGGAATCTCACTGAGGAAATGGCTACCAAAACCATTTTTGTGGAGAGGTGGGCAAAACAGCAGATTGTGAGGGGTTATTTCAATGGTTTAGTGATAACAGAAAGAGAGTAATATTCAAGTCCTAAGAGGACGAAAGGCATTGAGCAAAATTTTGAGCAAGCCAATGGTGGTTGGATGAGTCTAATAGAGGGAGGAAGGCACTGAGAGCTACCATGTGGACTCTGACAGAGGATTGGGTGAGGGCCTACAGTTTAAATTGAATGCTGTGGCCTAAGAGAATAGGCATGATATGGAATATAGTGGATAATGGTGGCAGTGTACCCAAGTGGAGTGTCAGAGTCCTCCCCGCGCCTGTGACAGGAAATCTGGATAGGTGTATAGTCAGATTGGGGTGGAGGTGGAAGCGGAGAGAGAAAGGAGGTCCGTGAATCTGTACTGGCAAGGACAAACGGGAACTTTCAATATGACTTTCACTTAATCCCACTGAATCTTGTGCAGAACTTGTTGGCGTAGGGGAATGGACAGAAAGAGATAGTGGACTTGGTTGATCTAGGGCAGGAGAAGGGATTTGTTCTGTGAGTCCAGCCCCAATGCCCATTTGGAATAGGAGAAGCAGAGTTTTCAGTTTTCACTGGTTACAGAGAGGTCCTAGTTCAGGGTGTCCCACCAGTGGAAGACAGAAAATCACATGGGATTGTGCAGTTCCCATTCAGTTTGCATAGAAAGACCTGCTGAATGTGTTTGCTAGGGAGTTGCTGACACCTGGAAGATGTGTTGCCTGTAGCATCACATCATGCTTGAGGCACCAGTTCCGGATTTGGATGGTCTTTGCAAAGAGAGAGACCTGGCACCTCCTTGCCTGTCACCAGGTTGTAGGACAGCAGTTGAATGTAATGTGAGGGGGAAGAATGCTTGATAGGCAACTCTCAGTTCCAGGATGTTGATGTGTATCCCTCGCCCCTCTCAGTGTCCAAAGGCCCTGGGCCATGTGACAGTCCAGTGAGGGAAGCCTCTGTAGTGACAGTGATGCAGGAAGGGGGAGGTGTAATCAGGGTGCTGACTAAGTCTTTGGACAGGTCAATCCACCACGTGAAGAGTTTAGGATGAATCAGGGGAGCAGAACAGATCTGTTTAAGCATTCTCTCTCTGGTTGAATGCTCCGGGTGAAAAGAATTCTAGAGAGTACCCCCAATGAATGATGTCCAGTACTGAGTGGTCTGTGGTGATCTTGTCCCAATTGTGAGCCAACAGGCAAAATGCCCCCCCCCCAAAGATTACCAGAGGTGCGATACAAGGGATAGAAGAGAAATGGGATTTCTGACAGCACTAATGACCTTGGGATGGCTCCTGTTGTTGTTGGTAGGGTTGGAAGGAAGTGTGGGGGCAAGATGAAAGGACAAGCTCTGCTGCCTGCAATTCAGGGTCTGGGTGTAAGTGAATATAGATAGTGGCACAGAATTGCTTGAGAAAGTGGAAGAACTCATCACTTTGTAGGGATGTAAGCAACTAGTTGCTTCCCAACCCTTGCTGCCTGAGTATCTTGCTCACCACAGGTTCCCCACTGTGCCTCTGCCTTTTAAATGTAGGAAGAACCAGGGGATCCTGGATCAGACTGTACAGATGGGTGCATGGCCTACTACATTAGAAATGAATAGAGGCAAAGTTCTCTAGTTTCTCAAGTTTGGAAGGGAATGGTTAAGTTGGTGCTCATTTCTCACAGAAAAGGAGCACAGAAACAAGGCATGGCTTTTGAAACTAACTCACCAGGGCATAATCTCCAGAAGAGGGTGGGGGGCAGTGTGCCCTGTAAGCTGTGCGCTTGTGCAGCTGCTCAGGAGAGATATAAATACCAGAAATTCAAATGCCAGCTAGGTTTTGTGTTTCTACTGGTGGTGCATATTCACACATGCCTCAATTCATATAAAATTTATTCCACTAATGGATGGAAAAGATTAGTGGGAACATTGTTGGGGAGCAGTGTCCCTGACAAGGGAAGTCATCCTTCAGGGATCCTATATATGAGTCTTACAAACCACTACCTACCACTGTGTGCACTATATACACTGAAAAAAATGGACAAGCAGTTCTTTTATGCAAGTCTAAGAGCACAGCGGAAAAGGCATTCTAATTCTTACCATGTGGCTGAGAGAGAGAACTGGAGCAGCGTTGATCTGCATGGCCTCAGATGCAAGCAAGTGTACAATGCAAGACACACATGCAAGTCAATAGATACTATTACCACAAAACTGTTCTGGCTCCAGCACATGGCATGCATGTGCACCCATTTTTGAAATCCATATAGTAATTTTTTTTTTAAAAAAAATCAGAAACTACTTTGTGTGGCTGGAATAGAAGATTATTTTAATTGCTCTTTTCTCCTTTATTCAAACCTCAATTCAATTTGTGAACTTTAATTGAAATTGTTTTGGATATTTGTTTAAGGTGGACTGAATTCACTTGAAAATAAGACTCCACCTATTTAGATTAAACAGAAAAATAAACTCTACCATAAACATAGATCAAAGCCAATTAGTTGAAATGTGTAGCCAAAGGTTGCCTATTTAATCTCTATATTTAAAAAAGATATTCAACATTTCTTCTTTACTTTTCTACTTTATTGATAAAAGGATAAAATACAACTGAAATCCACCAATATCTTACTCTTTGCCTTTTTAAACTATAAAACTTAACAAAAAATAGTATACGGTTGGCATTTACATTTTCATATTCACAAAGCCAACATTTCTCGTACCAGAAGTAATGTACTTGTATATAGCACTATTCCACTCTGTTTCATTAATAAGTGAAGGTCAGTAGCATAGCATGTTCTTACAAAAGTGTAGGTGTTATTTTTTTCTGACCAATCTGTAATAACTAGAATCATTAGTAGCAGTTATATTGCACCAGCAGAAAATAGCTTTTTTAGTTACAAGGCTATCTGAGGCACTATCTCCTTTAAATATTAATCCAGTTTAACTATGAAGTGACTACTGTTTGGTTCATGAAGTGAACACAATGCATATGCAGTTGTATGGATTTTATCTGTACAATATCATTAATTATTATTGTTAATGGAAGGTATATTTGTAAAATTTGGCATGATGTATATGACCTAATAAATATTTTAAAAGGAATTCAACTTTGCTGAAAACTAACGTGAATTTGTTTTCTATCAAAAGCACCCATAAAATGCATTGCCTGAGCAATTATGGATTCCAATAATTTTCACTTTGAAAAGAAAGCTGTACTCCTGAGTAAAATAATTTGATAACAGTTGCCTGGCCAAAGTATTGCCTGGCACAATCAGTCACTGAATCTATCATGTCATTTATAGAACTAAAAATATGGTAGACTGGAAAAACAAATAAGGCTAAATATGTATGATGTTGCACTAAACCATTTTTTATATATATATGTTGTAAACTTCCATTTCTGGACAACTAAGCAGTTGTTGATTATAGAGTGTTTCTAAGTCAGTAGGTTATTTAATTTTAATCTTGGTAAAATGTAAGATTAAAATTAAATAACCTACTGACTTAGAAACACTCTATAATCAACAACTGCTTAGTTGTCCAGAAATGGAAGTTTACAACATATACATAATTATTATGAGCTATTCAAAGGCTAATATAAATCTTAATCCAAAACCTAGTGAAGTAATTGGAAAGACTCTGATTAATATCAATGGACTTCAGCACACTACAGGTCTGAGCCAGAGTCCATCTTGTGAGAGTACAAAGGGACAAAGTTTTTGATACTGAAGTATAACAAAATAAAAAATATATAATGACAAAAGCATATTTTTTAGAAAAATGTAGCCTGCAAACCTCTGGAAGCTTCTTTCTATTTTCTTACAAATGCGGTGAAATCATCAATCACTTTTTTTCTTAAAATACAATACCTGCACCAACTACTTCCTTTCTACTCTATAAAATTAAGAACAACCACATTTACTATTCCTGTAGCCTTCAAAATCATTCCCAAAGATTTCCTGGGAGGTACTGCAGGTATAAGATCACCAGACCAAAATAAAAAAAAAAAAATCCTTACAAGACGTCATCTGTGTTCAACTTACTAGGAATAGGTCTAAGGACGTCAGGAATGAGAATCTCCACCAAAGCCTGGTACATCACATGGTCACAGTTACACATCCATTTCAGAATAGACTCATTTTTGCACAGAGTAATCAGCTTTGCTTTCGGAAGTCGACTTTCTATTTCACTCAGATTGCTGGTGTGAACAAATGTATCAAATGAATAAATGAAAATGCATATACATGCATATTGAAAAACAATGGACTTCAAATACTTTAATTAAAAAAGCCACACCCCACAGCACTGCTGTACCGTATGTTATATGAAATTGACAAATGGCCTCCAAATTTCTGCTGCAGCACATAACTTATGCAGAAGTACAATAAAAATGGCCCTTTCATCTTAAAAAGATTGAATACAACATTATGAAAAGATACCTCTACTATAGTCATCAATGCCAAACAAAATGGTAAGATACATATTCAATCATTTCAAAAAGGCAATTTGTGATAAACACTAGTTAGTGTAAACAAACATTTTAGACAGCATACATTTAGTAAATTTGTTATATCAAGTTAGAATTAGAGTTTTACATACTAACTGAAAACCTATCTGAGTTGACATATGCAATGAAATGATAACAAACAGCAAAAACATTTACTGACCTCGGTTCACTAATAGTAGTGCCATCAGTTTGAGTGGAAGGAGAATAGCGCCAGAAAGTTTGCCACAATTTTTCTATCAGGCTAAACTGAAGATTCACTACAACATCCAATATTGCCTGAAAAAAAAAATAAAAGCAAGTGCAGATTGTCTTCTACTTACATTCTTATTAGCAGGGAATGTTACGACATCATTTATATGGTGGCTACATTTTGTATATTAGGTGCAATAGTAGTCAAATCCATGTTTCTAATTTAACCAATAATCAGATTATATATCCAGTATGTGCAGAAATATAAACTAATCCAAGTATAAGTGGATATAAGGCAAAAAAAGAGAAGGTCTGTCCGAAATAAACATATTTGATGAATACACAGAAGCAAAACTTTTAAAATAGCTAAAAACATCAAGGGAGACAAAATATAATTGCCCTGGCTATTTCTGCACCGAGAGTTCATATAACTTTTCCATTTCACATCGCTATTTGAAATAGTTGTAATAGACACAGAAACATTAAGACAAAAGTGGCTTAAAGCTCTCAACTCAATAAATTTGTTTTTTAATATTTGAAAACATTGTTTCTTAATGTAAAAATAGAAATGATTTAATCAGATTTATATTTCTACAACTAAACCAAGATATATGAAAAGTCTGAAATCTAGTGTCTTTAATCTGACAGAAATGTCAAAATCAACAACAAACTAATTTTCATTCTCAATATTTTATAAAATAAATTAATATTGGCTATTCTTAGAAAACAAGAGACTCCAAAAAAATCTTACTATAAAATTTTCCTTAGAATTGAATAAGCAAACTGCTGTTTAGATAAGTCAGACACTCTCAGGCTAATATGTTCTCTACTGTCATACTGTCTTGGAAGTGTTTGACATCTAGTGAAAGAATCAAAGATCAAACGGTGTATACTGAATACATCCTTCTTACCTCACAGTGCTCTCTATAAAGACTCTGCAGAGATTTGATATCCTCAAATGTAGTACCATCTGGCAAAGAAGGTATTTCAACTTCTCCAAACTCTGGAAGTACTCGAGATGCATCTGTTTCCATGACAACATAATGGAAGAAAGCTATTGTGGATGGTGCCAATTACAGTTTAATTAGGAAAATGTTTAAGAAGATACAAAGAAATAAATTCTAAGAGGTCATAGTACCTGAAGAACAAAGGCTTTCTTATTTTTTATAAGTAGCAACAAAAAATTACCAACACAAAATTTTAACCAAACTGACTATTTTTTAAGAAGATATATTATACTATGATATATAAAATGCCAACATTATTTTTTGTATATCCTTCATATCTGCACATCAAAGGCAAGTATTAAGGTATTTCAGTCTCCAAGATATTTTCAGTAAATCACAAAATAAAATAAAATAAAATGTCAGTATATAGCTTATTCATATTGATTAGGTTTTATTTTACATTATTGGACAGTTTTAGTACATTTAGTAGCATGTTTGTCAGATTATGCAGTATTTACATTTGGAATTTAATGGACTTTAATTCACATCTAATGTGTCCTTTCAATACACTGCATACATATTTTGGGGTACAGAAACACACCTCTATGTAAAAAATACAGCATACATGGCCCTATTTCCAAACAGTAATGGCTACATTGCAACTGCAAGCATGAATGCAACCCCATTTTACATACACATTTAGGAGTGAAGCATATAATGGCTATGAACAGAAATATTAAAGCATCAGTTTTAAGTCTGACTTTGTAAATTTAGTGCATGATACCTACAGCAAATTGTGTTGCAATATGTGCAAATATGGATTTTGAACAACTTTTCTTCTTAAATACATGAGGATATGAAATGTTGCATAAGCTTCATGATGTAGACCATGTAGTTTCTTTATATAAACTCTGGGTGGCCCAATATGAATTACAGCTTTACTGGGATACCCTAAGGCTAGAAAGATATATGGTACTAGTATGACTTGGCATTCGTGGTGATAGCAGATGGTTATTTTTATTTGTATACCAAAATAATGTACAATCACATACCCAAAAACTGTTGATGATGTTGACTTTGGGCAATTACAGTTTGCTCAACAGATGTGCCTGTCTGCTGACCACTTCCTGTGAAACCATCTGCAACCCCATCCACTTTCTGCATAGGCTTGTACCTAAAAAATATTGGACACAAAATTAGACAAAATTATCCCTTTTATTAAACTCCTCAAAATGTCCACTATTACACAGTATGATTCTGTCTACTTCGTCTCTCAATAGGATTCCTCCATCTCACACAAATCTCAGTCTAGAAAAGTTCTTTTCAACTAGATTCTGTAGTTATTCTCTTCCTCTTAGGAAATTAACTCAGGAATTAATTAAATCAGGCTAAGGATACTGATTTCTGATTGGACAGTAGGTTGGTCTAGCTCAGGGTTTCCCAACCTATGAGTGGCAACCCAAAAATAGGTCGCCATTACATTTCAAAAGGGTCGCCAAGTGTCTCTCCAGGTGGCTCTGCCTCCTTCTTCCCCCTGATTTTTTAATTACCTTGGGTCACCAAGTCTTCCTGAATTGTCAAAATGGGTCCCCATCTGGAAAAGGCTGCTGAACTGAACAAGGAACTTGTTCAGTATTTTTCTTTATACTTATCATACCATATCCAAATCCTGCAGTAAATATGGAATTAATACTCGCCTCATTAGCTTTTCTATGGCTCATTACTATGCTATCTGGGTGTAACATATATTAAAGAATTTATTTCCTTAACATCCATGTGGTAGTCAGGGCTCTCTCAGAGACTAAGACAGGTAGATTAAGAGCAAAAGGGCAAAAATATCAAGGTGGGTGAGGTAATATCCTGGAGAGAGGCATGCTGGTGAGAGAGACAAGGTTCTGAGCCACATAGCCCTCTTCTTCACGTGTATTCTGAAGTGACTGAATATCTTGGGACCGACAGCTAAAATTACACTAAGTACAAAAATATCAACTAACTCTGAGTACCTTTAATTGGCTGCATAAACTGAGGCAATTAAGGCCTGATTTTGCAGAGTCCTTAGCATTATTATATTTAAAAGACCGTGCAGATATTAATAAATCCTCCCTATACTCATGAAGTAGGTGCAAGCCTGCTGACTGGAGGGGAGAGCAAAGAGGGCAACTGACCCAGGACCCAGCAATTCAATTCAAAGGATCCTGAGGCTCCCGCCTGCTGCTGCCAATACTGCAGCAGCAGCAGTGGCACTCAGAGCCCCAAACCTTTTAAATTGCCACCAGAATGCCACATGGCATGCTCTGGGTGGCTCTTAGGACTGCCGGGGGAGGTGCTCCAGGCGGCACTGGGAGGGACAGGAGGGGCCTTGCAGCGCTGAGGGCTAGCTGCCTTTGGCCCTGACCCTTCTGCCTAAGGTCCTGTCCCTTCCGGGAGTGTGGAACTGCCTATTCTCTCCCGACCCTTGCTCAGGGGCCTAGCATGACCGTCAGCTGCCTTGAGTAGCTGGGTAAGTATTGTTACCACATCTTACCGATAGATAAAGAGAAACTCAAAGTGACGTGCCCCACAGTAAATCAGCGGAAGAGCCAGGATTCAAATTCAGGAATTTCCTGATGCCAAGCCTTACGCTAAGCTCATTCTTTCTGAACACATAATCTTTCTGCAAGAGAGACCGAGTCTCAAATGCTCTGAGAGAATTGAAGTGCAATTGTGAATACTCAGCTCTTCTAAAACCAGGTTCCAGGTGTCTAAAACTGAGCACTCACAATATAACAGTTAAATGTCACCTGTGAAAAGTATGGTTTGAGATAGCTGCCCACATAACATAGGAAATCTATGGCAGAGTCTGAGATAGAATCCAATTCCCCATTTCCCATTCCCCAGGAAGGCATTTAACTGCTTTAGCTTTGAAAATATTTTCTCTTTCTGCAATCTTCTGCCTCATTCACCACACACTTGCCAACTTCAGCAACAAATGAAGCAGAAGTTCCTACATACAAAGAGCCTCACTCACTGCACATATCCGGATTCATTCTCTGACTACCAAACTTCTTGTGCATTGAATGAGGCAGACAGTATATGAAAAAAATAATGTAATACTGTAATTAAAGCCTATATCATAATGTATATAAATGAGATAGAATTAACATTGCTAGGGCAATCTCAATTTGTGCATTTCCTAAAGTTCAGGGCCTTCCAAACATACAATTCTTTCAGTATAGTTTTTTGTATGTAATTTATTAGGATTTTCTTCAAAGAACATGAATTCTGTTATGTGCAAATGTAATGGCCTCTCTATCATCAGTAGGGTTTGACTTCTGAATATTCAACACTATGGCCTCTATAATACTAAGGCTACGTCTACACTGGCCCCTTTTCCGGAAGGGGCATGTTAATTTCAGCTATCGTAATAGGGAAATCCGCGGGGGATTTAAATATCCCCCGCGGCATTTAAATAAAAATGTCCGCCGCTTTTTTCCGGCTTTTAGAAAAGCCGGAAAAGAGCGTCTACACTGGCCCCGATCCTCCGGAAAAAGCGCCCTTTTCCGGAGGATCTTATTCCTACTTCAAAGTAAGATCCTACTTCAATAAGATCCTCCGGAAAAGGGCGCTTTTTCCGGAGGATCGGGGCCAGTGTAGACGCTCTTTTCCGGCTTTTCTAAAAGCCGGAAAAAAGCGGCGGACATTTTTATTTAAATGCCGCGGGGGATATTTAAATCCCCCGCGGATTTCCCTATTACGATAGCTGAAATTAACATGCCCCTTCCGGAAAAGGGGCCAGTGTAGACGTAGCCTAAAGGATTAACTATAACAGCTGGCAGCAGAAATAGATTATTATCCATTGCGCACCAGCACCTGAAGGTGAGGAACAAACTGAAATAGTGGATTACACATTCACGAGAAAGCACATTTTATAGGCTGTATAGTGTGGAGTGCTTAGATTTGACAGATGCCTTCCGAGGCAGCCTGGCTAAACAACTGAGAATTGAGTTATATCTCCAGCATGTATAACTTTTGAGCAAGGTAGACTTTGCTCAAGAATAAGGGTTGCAAAGGACACAGAACTATTAACACTAGTCAGTAAAATAAGTGTCTCCTGGTTCACGGGGTGAGGATTTGTGTTGATTGTGTCTTGTCAAGAAGCGCACTGTTTGTGGCATATTGAAGTAAGCCAGTACACACAGCGTTGTAATGTTCAGAATTTTTACCCCAATCCAGGAACAAGCTGTTTGTAAGCAAAACACAGATGGGAAATGGTGATTTTGAACAGTCTGTAACTCAGCCAAACCTGTTGTATTTATATGGACACTTTGTCTTGTGAAGTTTAGTCAGAAGTTTTGCAACTAGAGGGAAACAGAAACAAGGTGAACCTGAATGTCCTCTGTGGAACGGGAAAGGTGTTAACATCTACTGAATTTTTCCTGTGCAGAACAACAGAAACTCTGTGTAGGTTTCTGAATTTCAGCCTGGTTATGTATCATTTGAGGCACATAGAGAATCACAGAAAACTAGAACTGGAAGGGACCTTGAGAGGTCATCAAATCTTTTTTACAAAACTCCTGTTAATGCATCGCACAATCATGTTTTGCTCCCCCTCTCCCCTCAATAGTGTCACACGGTTGACTCATTTATCTTGTGGTCCACTCTGACCCTTAAATCCCTTTCTGCAGTACTGCTTCCTAGAAAGTCACTTCCCATTTTGTATACGCGAAACTCATTGTTCCTTCCTAAGTGGAGTACTTTGCATTCCTTCTTATTAAACTTCATCCTATTTTCCTAAGACCATTTTCCCAGTTTGTCCAGATCATTTTGAGTTACGACCCTATCCTCCAAAGCATTTGCAAACTAACCCCTGTGGAACCCCACTTGTTTTGCCCTTCTAGCATGACTCTGAATCATTAATAACTACTCTCTGAGAATGGTTATCCAGCCAGATATGCACACACCTTATAGTAGCCCCATCTAGGATGCATTTCCCTAGTTTATTGATAAGAAGGACATGTGAGACTGTATCAAATGCTTTACTAAACTCTATGTATACCACCTCTATCGCTTCCCCCTTATCCACAATACTTGTTATCTTACCATAGAAAGCTATTAGGTTGGTTTGACATGATTTGTTCTTTACAAATCTATGGTGGATGTTACCTATCACCATATTATCTTTCAGATGTTTGCAGATGAATTCCTTAATTATTTGCTTCATTATCTTTCTTGGCACAGAAGTTAAGCTAACTAGTCTGTAGTTTCCTGGGTTGTTCTTATTTCCCTTTTTATAGAAGGGCTATATTTGCCCTTTTCCAGTCTTCTGGAATCTCTGCCGTCTTTCATGACTTTTCAAAGATGATAGCTAATGGCTTAGATATCTCCTCTATCAGCTCCTTTAGTATTTTAGGATACATTTCATCAGGTCCTGGTGGCTTGAAAACATCTAACTTCTCTAAACGATTTTTAACTTGTTCTTTTCCTATTTTAATTTCTAAACCTACCCCATTTCTGCTAGCATTCACTAAATTAGGCATCCAGTCACCACCAACCTTCTTGGTGAAAACCAAAACAAAGAAGTGGTTAAGTACCTCTGCCATTTCCACATTTTCTGTTATTGTTTCTCCCTCTTTATTGAGCAATGGGCATACCCTGTTCTTGGTCTTTCTCTTGCATCTAATGTATTTGTAGAATGTTTTCTTGTTACTCTTTGTGTCTCTAGCTAGACAGAGCTCATTTTGTGCCTTCGCCTTACTAATTTTGCCCCATCACCCTCTGACCCAGATGTAATTTGCAAGTGTCTACTGCTGAAAGGCTGAGTGTAATCATGTTCTCAGTTTGATCCAATTGAGTGGCAACCTAGAGAGTCATATTTATTTACTTAGATTTTGTTTGAAAAGAAAACTCCACTCCAAACGTGCCTATTCAAAGCTCTGGGAACACTTGAAATACATTTAAATGCACAATATCATAGCATAGGCTGAACAAAACTAATTGTCCGAAGCATCAACACTGGTATGTTGCCCACTTCCACTCTCACAGGAGAAAAACTTACTCCATCCATGTTTGTTGTTGTAGCTCAGAGTGGCCTGATTGTTCACTTAACACATGATCACTGTTGGAATATCAAGTCTCTGAAAGTAAACAGATGGCCACTCTAACCCAGGACATATATCTGAAGTTTGGCTTCACACA